GGGGGGGGTGGGGGGGTGGAGAGTGATGTCAGGCTTTTCCTTAAGATCTCCAACCACAAGTCAGCATGATGGGCATGCTGCCCGAGAGAGAGACTCATGCAAGATTACGACAGCCAGCTAGAGGAACAGTTATCAGAGAAAACAGAAATGTTAGAAGCAAAGTGGCTCAGATCGTAATCACCCGCTTTTTCTGTCTCCACCTTGACACATGGGGCCCCGGCTGGTTAAGAGTCTGATGGGCAACAGAGCAAAGTTTGCACAGAGTACAGCAAGACCCAAAAGACAGCCAGTGCCTAAACCAGAAGGTCAGTAATCCAATTATAAACACAGACTACATGTATTGCTTCACAGACACAACATGCTACACTCATTTGTAAACGACTCAGCTGTTAACCTTAATTGTTTTCTTCCCTGGTTGACTACGATGGCACAATGCGAGCACAGACCTAATAGTGCTTTATCGAGAAGCTGGTTTGACCAGGTGGGCAGAAACACTCCTATTTTTCAGGCAGAGAACGTTACTAACTGCTCAAGTCCTGACCCGAAGGCCTTTCTTTCCATAACTTCTCTTTTCAACCCTGTATGAAGTTCTTTTTAAAACATTTCGCATTGCATGCTTTGGCACACATCCCCATTCCTAAGTCTGTTTGGCTTAGCAGAGGCAGAACAGAGTCCACATGAGTGAGCCAAGAGAAACAAAACTGATATGTTCAGGGGTACGAGCGTACAGTGCACCCCACAAAATATTTCTCTAATGATGCCAGCGGGGATACGTTTCAGTTCCCGGACCATTTCTGTCTTAAGGCAGCAGGCACAGTTTAGCAGTCCGTCTGGCAGCGGACAGCTTTGTGTCACTTTCAGACGCGACATCCTGACACACTGAAAACGCATGCAACAGCAGCAAAATGCTCAAGTCGTCAGCAGTCAATCAGCAGGTTAATTTTTACATCCTATACAGTCAGGACTGCATTGCTTTGCTCACTTAAGGATTGATTGTGCCAATTTTGGCCAGATTAGTTTCATTTTTTGTAGAACTGCATCTGACCTTGAGTATGGCAAGTTAAAGGTGTAATTATTTCCAGTCTATGGTTACTCTTGCTACAAAAGAAAAGGTAATCCAGGTGTTCAAGTTTAAAATAAAAAAAACGGTAAACATGCTTCACGCTGTTAATTTTGCATGAACTGTTATTGAATAAGTAGACTAATATATCTGCACATTTTTAGAGTCTAACGATCACACAGTTGGTTAGTCAGTCTTGGTCTGCTGGCAGCACATTTTAAATCCTGAACATCCTCTTTAATCCTCAATATTTCAGCTTTAAAAATAGATCAGACTTCGAGATTGCCTCTAAAAATTGAAATCCAACTTTCCCTGAAACAAAAGTTGGCGTTAACTTTCCCCATTTCTGTACCCGCTCTGCTGATTTAACCCTCCGTTAAAAACAAAAAAGGGATCCGCTGTGCAAATCTTAACCCGAGCAGCTTTAAACACGAGCCGTTCCCTCCGGAGAGACACGATCCTCCGCTCTCCCCGGCCTGTCCGCCGCCTCTCCCACATTCTCAGACAGTTTATTAAAAAATTTCAGACAAAAGGAAAACAAAAATGGCAGCCCAGTCTTATTTTTATAAGCACTGGACGCCATATTCTGCAGATCCGAATATTATAAGCAGATAATTCTCCGGATGTGATTAAACGCTGCTGCGACGCATCTGCTAGCGGCATGTTTGCATTAAGCGTACGAATGATTGTTTACTTTGATTTGCAGGTTTGAATAGCCCGGCTCGGGGAGGAGGAAAAAAAAAAGCCCTGACACTTCCTACAACAATCATCATGCCTTTGCTGAATGCTCTGCAGCTGCTGAGCCATAAATCCAAACGTCGATGATAATCCTGACGCGCCGTGGAAGCTTTAAGTGGCGCTGCGGCCGAAAAACGAAGTGATTATTCGCCATTAATGCGCTGCAAATGCGATTTTTTGTAATTCCAACTTTTGCATGACTTAAATAGAAACGGTGACGAAGCGACACGGAGCAGCTGCGTGTGTGTGTGAGCGAGAGAGAGAGGGGGTAAGGCGGGTAAAAAAAAGCAAAAAGAGGCAGAGAAATTGCATCGAGTGGCCAACATACCTGAACCAGCGAGCAAGGAAACAATTTTTTAAAAAGGATTAGAGTCTTCTTTCTGCTCGCTCTCAGTCGGACTTCAAATCTTCCGGGTCGCCTGCTGTTCACTTCTGGGTGCTGCAGGCGAGGAATTGTTCAATGTAAAAACACTGCGCTCAAACAGATTTTTTAACCCATTTTCTGGCTTCTGGTTTCCTCGCAGATGTTGTGCGCATTTGCGCTGTAGCGTTAGATACACATTGGAAAAGTTCACATTTATCTGTGCACTGATTGTTTTGGCAGTAATACATTTTATCTTATTTTATTTTATTTAATGTTATATTACATATTTGCATATGAAAGGGTGTCTCTTTCTTGTGTCATCGCTGAGAACAGGTGTGCACACAAATAATAAAACACAAGTCCAGCTGAGGTTTTTTTATTTTTGCTTTTGGTTTTGTTCGTTTTTTTTCCTCCATCAGAGAGAGAGAGAGAGAGAGAGGTGGGGTAACAAGTGCGCAGCCTAACAGTGGGATTTGCCCTATGCAGGTGTAATCTGTTACACGGTCTGTAAAAAGCTGGCGCCCGTGTGTAGGAGATCATGATGGTCATGCACACATATGAAGTGTAATCCTCTCAGCAGCAGCAGCATGACAGGCTGCTAATATGCTCTGTGCTTAGCTCAGCAGGAGATGGCACTGCTGCCACAGAGAGGGCTTCAGCTGATGGTGAAGGGTCTGCCTCAATGATGAAAACAGGAGATATTTAGCATAGTCCCTTTACATTAGGGAATGTGACATCTCTAAACTACCACTGGTCATTTATTACTGGAGGTAATGCCTGTGGTGGTTTATTGTATCTAACAATCCATTATTTAAGGGGACAATTGAGGCAGTATAAAACTGTCAGTGTGGTTCTCCAAAAGTTGATTCTGTTCATCTGGACGTAGTGTTTTCAGTGGGAAAACTGAAAACGCTACGTCCAGATGAACAGAATCAACTTTTGGAGATTTATTCACCTGGATGATTGAGAATGCATCAAGATGTCAGTGTGGTTCTTTTAGTGATTGAAGAAAGGGGCTCATTAGTACGAAGTGAATCTTCTAAAAATTGTAATTTAATTATTTAATGTTTTTAGGTTTTTACATGCCCTCTCACTCTTCTTTGAGGTAATACTAGCATGTATTGACGTAATCTCAGACTTTTATGTTTTTAGCAGCAGACATGCATCCCTTTTAACTGAAAATGGGGCTGTCAGTTTTTACAAACAAAGGTTTTGTTTAAATAAGAATAGGATTTGTGTTTTTTTTATAGCGTTCATGGTCCATCCTGTGAAGTGCAAAACACTGTACTGTTTCTTTGTCACTGGGCAGAAATGAGTTTGAAGGAGACAAGTTCAAAGGTGGTGAGTTTGGATTTTGATCAAAACAATTAATGTGTTAATGTGATGTTTTAGTAAGGTGGGTCATTTTTAATCCATTTGGTTGCTAGGATACTTGAGGAAGTAATAATATAGGATGTAGATAAGAACCTCCAATGGTCTATGATGTACCTGTGAGACAGGTTTGGTGGCCTGAGTGACTAGGAGGATGTATGTGGAGTATGTGGACAGATGGAGGTTTGGAAGAGTCTAATGAAGAATTACTGCTGGTCTGTTTTTTATTTTGTTTTGGGTTTTTTTCCCCTTGGTGATGACATACTGCATGGCTACATTTGCACCACATATAGTAGTAGTTAGCACTTTTTCTTGGATTTTGTTCCTTGTGTGAAATGTCTGTTTGATCAGATGTGAGAGCCACAGAGTGCTTTCTTTCTTTCTTTTTTGTAAAATTAAATTTTTGAACTGTATTTGTACATGAATGTGAATATTTTTTTTAGTGATTTATCTTTTGCCACATACAGAAATTTGTCCGTGTTGCTTTAACTTTTTTTCCAGCCTGTCACGCTGCACAATGTCACAGCCATCAGTGTTAGCTTTAGTCCTGTGGCAGGGTGGAGCAAACCAACTTTGATACCTGCTTATAACAGTTAAAGCGCTTAGATTAAAGCCTGTGCTTCTGTGTGATGTTTTACTGCAGGTGTAACATATACTTTATGCTATAAAATGCTGAATTGTAAGCTTGGCTTTGACACAAAAATCTCTCTAAAAAAAGAATTTCAAGGGACAATCCCAACATTTTTAAACAGCATGGCCCATTTATGGATTAGATTTGACAAACATTGTTTGAAAGCACACATCCTCGTGATTTAATTGCTGTAAACTGTTTTAAGGTGCCAATATCACACCGGCGGTCGTTCTTTACTTTCTGATAAGACTGTTTACACAGCTGAGTGTGCTTCTTACCTTTTCTGTTGACTGTAGGGGTCCATGTTTGTTTGACGCGCTGAGCTGCACTTGATGCTTCAAGCTTTTTGTCTTTGCTTGTAAAAGTAGGCTGAATATTTGGTGTTAATCTAATAATATCCAGCAACATACAACGGAGCCTTAATAAGATCAGATGATTTAGTCCAGGACTGTTGCATTATTGGGGTTTTTAACCTGCCAACAAGCAGCCTTAATGAATGATTTTCTTTAATGTGTCATTTACTAACATGCTGCAGCTCTCTTTACTCTCTGCATCCTCTTAACTATATTTGCTGTTAGCATAAGCGCAAGCGCTCACGGACACAAACATTCAAATCTATGTAAAATGCATATCTCAGTGGGACTTCACCTCTTCCATCTTTGAAATAAGTCAGACAGAGAAAACAAAATGCATTCAAATGCCTCTAAATACAAAGCAGGTGCACATAGAGAGCAGTGGGCTCTGATTTAATTGGCAGATCTCTGACTACACATATGTGGCTCTTACTTGGGCTGAAAGTAAATGTGGTCAGCTCATATTTGCCAAGGAATAACACTATAACATAGGTAATGGCCACATTTTTCCTTTTTTATTTGTTGCCTCAAAGTTAAATTTCAACATACATACAAATTTATCTTAACTAACACATCCAGCTGTTTTTCGTGGTGGCTGCAGCCAAAGCAGAGGTGCCCATGCCACTGCTTTCCCCCTTCCACCTCCTCCTGGCCTTCTGGGAGGCACCAAGGATTCTCTCACCTAGTCAGATGCAAACTAAAGTGTTCCTTTCACCCTGTTTTGATTTAAATTAAGCAAAATGTTTGGAAATGAGTTGCTGATTTATTATGGGAAATAATTCAATTTGCAAATGTCATCATTATGGTTACATAAGATGTCGAAAATGCATTTGTATTTTATCATCTATTTAAAATCATATTTAATACCCCAGTCTAACAGCTAGCTAATTGTGACGCCAGCGTTCTTTTCTCCTGTATGATCAAAGTTTTTGGGAGTACTCTTTAACAAATAAATGATAAGCGCGCACACACACACACACACACACACACACATACACAAACACCTTTGGGGTTGCATCAGAGAGGTTGTCTGTTTTTTTTCACTGTTCTAGTCACAAAAAAGTCACAGTTTAAAAATAATAAAATATATTTTCTATACCCTGGAGACAAAGTCAAACAGGATATAACACTGAGCTGCGTAGTGTAATTCAATTCAATTCAATTTTATTTATATAGCGCCAAATCACAACAAAAGTCGCCTCAAGGCGCTTCACACAAAAAACAAAGAAACTTTATTGCAGTTGTTAAATCATCTTGTTAACTCTAGGTTTATTGAAGTGGACTGTAAATGGAGTGCTGCAGCAACTTTTCCAAATCTCTGGAAATCCACAGATTTTAAGAATTGTGAGGAAAAAGTGACTGGTGATGATTCCTAATAGTAAAGTTACATAAGAAAGGTTAATAAGTTATTAAGGCAAAGAAACCCAATGAGATATTTCACTGCAGTTGAAGCCAGTCTTACATCAGGTCAGGATGCAGAGTCAGGTTAAAAAAACAAGTCTTGCACATTTACAATGTATATTATGTATGATGTTTAATTTTATCAGGGAAAAGAAGAAACACATCTCTTCACTTTGCAAGTTGGGATAAACCTCTTCAGACTGATTCTACAAATTCTTCCTTCCTTAGTTCATGCTAGACTTGTAGTCAAGACCGCCTAATCCGAGACCAAGACAAGACCAAGACCAAGTTGAGACGAGACCAAGACCGAGACCAAATCGACACAAGACCAAGACCAAAACCGAGGCAAAAAAGTTTTTAAACTGCAGCCAGATGAAGCTACGTTTACAGGTGTCAGGCATATTTAAGCGTTTTTACTTTCACACAGCCCTCCTCACCGCTGTCTACTATCTCACTCACTCACTGAGAGGACAGACGCACTCTCCACTTGACTGTCGTGTCTCTAAACCCCTCTCTATTTTTCACATAATGATATTATCCTATATCCTCGCATGTGATTGGCCACAATATGGAGGGATTGGAGCATAGCTGAGCCACTGTGTGAGAGCTGAGCAACGAAAGGAAATTAAGTGAGGCTAGAAATGACTGAAAGATTATTAGGCTCTGTTTTGAGTTTTGTTCAAAAAAGAATGACTTCATATAGGAAAAAAAATCACATATGCAGGACACCTTAAACTAGTTTTAATTCTACCAAAGTACACTATTTAGATTCAGAAAAGTTTATATAATTATTTAGCCTTGTTGTGCAAACAAGCTTGCATAACTTTCTAGAATTTGAAAAGTAACAAATGGTATCTAAAAAGTCACACTAGGTACTAGATACATGTTCTGATGAGTTTTGGCAAACAACCCTTTGACTAACATGTGTGTCTCACCTGATCTTGTTTGATCTCTGTTCTGTCCTCATTTTCCATCTCCCTCTCTGTTCCTCTCTCTCCCTCTTTGTGCTGACAATCAAGCCAAACACCAACGCCATCAAACCAGATATTTACAAACTCTTCAGATAAAAACAAACACTTTTTTAATTGTAACATCAAATCAGACTAAATGTTTATTTTTTTAGATTGATAATTATAAAAAACATATTTGTTAACTTTAAGAGTTAAGAGAGAAACTATCTGTATTTCTTAATTGCAAATGGCACCAAATTGTATTCAAAATTGAGCCACACTTATGGAGCTCCACAATTCTTTTCCTGGTGTTTTGGTTGACATCTCTTGATTTTTCCCATTTCAAAGAAACAGGCTCTGTGTTTTGCCTTATATGCATCCACAGGTGTGCCACCAATTTACTCACATGGACTCTACTAACCTATCAGAAGCTTCTTAAGCTCAGAATGGAATCCTCTGGAGTTGTCTTATTAATTAAAGACGCAATAAACTTAATGTATATGTACTCCTAAATTTGATGAAAGTGATTAAAATAGACAGCTCCCTCTTTTTATTCTGACATTTGACTAATTCAAAAGATATTTCAACACAAAACAAGTTTACTCTAAATTGATGTTTAACAGTAAAAAAAAAAAAAGTTTTTTATGTTTTCTCCCTAAAGTGTATGTAAACATCTGGTTTCAACTGTGAATATACTGCTGTGTATTAAAATTCCTCTTGTTTTGCATAGAAATACACTGAACAATATACAAAGCATAATATATAAAATAACATCTACCTGAGTTTTTTCTTTGAAAGAAGCTCCTTATGTCCATTGTTGTGTTCATCAGTACACAACTGAAACCGATTTAGAGAGTTTGTTTAGCCGTGGAGGGTAACAACTGAAAATATGAGATGTAAGCTAAGACTCTCTAAAAAAAATCAGCATTGTTGTTTGGCTTTTTATTTATCCATTTGTTGATTCACTCGAAGAGCAATTAACGCAAACAAGTGATCAGTTTGATATCAATCTTTTGTGATACACCGTCATATTTACATTATTT